AACTTTGCTATAAGAAATTAAAAACTTTTTACTCTAAATTCAGTAGACAACATCACACCAAAAAGGAAATAAAATTAACAAGCCTTTTTTATCTGCAACTTTTAATATAGACAGTATTATTTTTCATTAGATGCTGAGGGGTTTTTTAGACATTATGGACAAACATTTTAGAAAACCTATAAGCCAGCACACCAGGTTTTCCCTAAATGGGAGCTTTTCATGTTTGGACTGTTTTTATTGGAAACAGACAATGCAAAGTTTGTGACTAGTTTTACTTGAGTGAAATTCTGTAACCTTCCTAAAGCAGAGGAACAAAAAATACTGATGATTCAAGAGCAATAGAGTAATTTCAATTAACAGTTTATAAGAGCAGTAATTAAAAAAAACACTGCAGGTTTCTCCAGACAGTATTTTTATTTTTCTTGCAGTAACCTGGGAACTAGAAAGCATGGGAAGGAAGCAGGGAGGGAATACTTTGCCTAAGTAAGAATGTGTGACAAGAGGAACAAAGTTTAAGAGTCCACCTTGGAGAGCTGGCCAGCCTGGCACAGGTAAATCCAGCTGCAGGCTGAGCATCCAGCTGAAAACAGCAGCTTCCTGGGAAGGACAGAAACAGGCAGGACAAGGAGCAGCACCCACCTTGCCACGAGCAGTGTCTTGTGCAGGTCATCAGCTGTGATGCTCTCGGGGTCGTTCTTGCGCATCTCTACAAAGTCCTCTTCCACTGCCTGGGGACAACAGTGGAGTGATGGAGCAAAACAGAACCCTCATGTAGAGACAAGCTTTCAAGGAGTTGAACACCTCAACTACCTTTACATTACAAGACAGTATTTCAACTCATTGCTGTGCAGAGCCTGAGCAAAACGAGGCTACTTGTCATCTTTGAAAAAAACTGGTTTTCAAAATCAATATTCCATGTAGTGTTTCTTATTTGTACTATACTTATTTCAGTGAATACTTTACAAATCCTTAAAGGTATGTTCAGGACATGAAAACACTTCTGGTTTGGTTTTTAGAAAACTTGAAGGAGAATCACCAACAGGGAGAGCAATGGGAAAGTACTGTAACAGTCTGTTAAGGTGCTTTCTATCCAAATATACAGTTGAAAATGTATTAGTGGAGTCTTCCCTACCTTGGTCACTTCATCAGATATACTGTAGTCCAGCAGCCTCAGCAAGCTCAGGTAAATTCGGAATTTGTTGAGCACAGAGGGGAGCACTGCTGTCAGGAGGCTGCTCATGTACTCCTCCATGTTTGGGGGGATTATCTGGGGTTGTAGGTGGACTTGGCAATCTGACTGAAAGAGAAAATTACACACCATCTCTTGCCACATCCCATCGTTTTCTATTCCAAAACCAATTTACTCTCAAAGCCAACAGAAGTCACTACTTCCCAGAATTAAGGTAAGACAGTTCTTTATATATTCCACTGTTCAGTGTGCAGCCCTCACTGAAGCAGGAGCCAGCTCCACTCAGAGGCAGGAGAGCGAAGGCTCAGCTGATCGAGCTGGAATGCCAGAGATCAGATGTTGGCAAGCTTAGGCTACTCCAGGGGCAGTGCCAGCTCTGGGGCTCTGCTCCTGTGCCCACCACCTCAGACACTGCTTTGAGAAGGGCCCATATCTGCAGCCTTTGCCCCTCACTGGGCCGTCACTGCCTCGCCATCCCCGTTCAGCCGAGGAGGGAACGCCCATCTCCTGCTTCTCCCATGAAGAGGTTTGGGGCTGGGCTGGAGCCAGAGGGAGGAGGCAGCAACCAGTGCCAGTGTCACCCGTGCCCTGTCACAAGGCAGGGTTCCTGTCTGCACTTGTCCCTGGCAGGGCTGCCCTGGGCAGGCAGCTGCCACCTGCAGTTCCCACCAAATCCATACCGGCAGCAGGGATCGGCCCTCGGAGGTGATCAGCACATTAATGTTGCAGGGGAATTCCATCCGGTGGTAATTGAAGTCATAATCCACCTTCTGCCAGGTGATCAGATTGCCCAGTGCTGTCACGTTATGGACACCTGCAAAAGGAGGAAGAACAAACCCCCTGAGCACTGGACCTAAACAAATGAAGTCAGAGCTGATTCTTGTTTCAATCTGTCTTTAATGAGCAGTTACCAGAAGAATTCTTGCAAGCTTCCTGTTTCTTCTGGGGTCTGTGGTGTCTTCCAGACAGACACAACCATTTCTTAAGATCAAAACTAAGGATTCCTAATTTCAAGTCTACATTTTATCTGGCTTAGTACGTGTTCACATGTGTTTCTATTGGCTCTACAAAGCCAGACAACTATTTACAGAGAAAAACCAAACAAATCTCT